CCTTTCGAAAATTGTTCATTTCACCTACTTTCACACCACGGACCAAACTAATATTATTTTTACAATAGTATTTTTTGATTTTGAATCAAATGGCGTTTACAGTTTTTTGAAATGTTTGCTCATTCTCGAGTTATGGTTCAAAGCAAAAGTGTCCCATCGTCAGTGAATATTTTTATTTCTAGGGCCTAATTTGAACTTCTGTTCAAGCCGAACACAAGATTTTGTCCTCTGATAATGTTTTTAAAAAAGTTAGGCTGTTTTCATGAAGTTTAACTATAGATGTGCCCTATGACATGTCACACTTCACAAAAATTGGTGTCAGGCAGCAATAATCGTAAATATTTTTATTTCTAGATTCTTATTCGAAATTCTTCGGTCGATGCACCATGTTGACAGTGGATCCGAGGTCAGCCGAGACCGATCCGACTTCCTAACCAGAGAGACTTGTTTACCTGTAAAAGACCCCAAAACCCCCTAATGTGTAAGATAAGCGGTGCAAGTGCATAACAGTACACAAGCTATTCAAATCCCAATTTATTGAAGGAAAGAGGGTCGAATAAACGGCAAAGACAAGAGTAATGGGTAAAAGAAAGCGATACAGAAAAGAGGTAAAGGTATAGGACTAAAACCTCCTGGGAGCTACCGGAGGAAACCTTGCTGCCCTCAAAAGCTGTTGCTAGCAAAATCATAACACTGCCAAACGTAGGAAAAAGTCTGAAACTATAATAAAAGTAGAAAGGGACCGCATCGCGGTCAGAAAAAGGGAGATACCCGTCTCTCTGATACGAACAATTTGTGTGTGTGCGTGCGCAGAATGCGCCGCTCATGTCGGCGCTAATGCCGAGCGGCGCGTGCGTGTCACGTCGCTTGTTGGTGCTTATTCAAATTATATTTATGTTAGTGAACGAAATAATGGATTGTGATTAGTGAACGGAGTATGATAAGAAGGGGAATGAATATGACCCGAATGAAACGGATAATCTAGTGGAATTTTATTTGGAAAATCGGGGGACTCTGGGTTATAGCGTTTTCAAGTTGCCAGTGTCCCGAGACAATGGGGAAAATTGACAACACCTAATTCAAAATTCTGTTCAAGACGAACACAAGATTTTGGCATTCAGATTATGTTAAAAAAAGAGTTTGGCTGTTTCCATCAAGTCTAACTATAGATGTGCCCTATGACATGTCAACAATTTGAAAAAATAGGAAAAAAACATTTTATTTAAAAGTTTAGTTGTTTGTCTATCAACTGTTTTTTGAATTTTAGCAACCGAACATAAACTGACAAAAGTTATGATTTTTTAAAAATTTAGCCATTTTTTGGTACTTTTTGGGCCATAACTCCCCAAAAAATGTTGTATCAACTATCCGTTTCGGATTCTTAAATAACTTTTTACGCTCTTTCTAACCAAATACGTCTCGATGGTTTTCGAGGGCAACACTTGGGAGTCATTCTACGTAAGCTCAGTATCACCTGATTCCTGAAAACCCTTATACATATTCTAATTTTGAAATTCATTTAGAGTCCACATGACATTTAATAACTTCATTTACCTGCTTCTCTCGTCCTCACTTAGCTCTCTTTCCCACCTGCTCACATATTCTAATCCTTATGCCTCCTTGTTTTTTTCATGATCGTTCACACCTCATTTTTATTTGATTCCCCGATGTTGGCACCTCGTGTATGGAGGCCCCTAATTTAGTGACTATTTTTCTGAAACTTACCTAAATATATCCTGTTCCATCTAAAAAATGCAAGATCATTGTTTGATTGAAGATCTGTGTTATGTTTTTAACAGTGTTTTTATTGGAAGCTGAATTTTATTTTTATGAAAATCTTCTCGATGCTTCAGTTAAATTGAGTTTCAGATATTTGATTAAACATTTAAAAAATGAATTGTTTTCAGATCAAAACCGACATACCAATCGGATCTGCAGCCCGTCTGGTCAAACAATACTACGGACAAGGGTGCACAAAATATTAAATATTTTGTTTTTCGAATCTGAATGAAAAGATTCCTTGTTTGACAATAAGTGTTGTTGTCAAATGTACTTTTGTAAAATAATACTTTATGAGACTAGCCAACGTTTTATAAGTTTTCTAAATAGTGAATTATCTGTTGAATGGAAGACTAAATGTCATTGAAAATGGTCTAGTTACGTTTTAGGAAACGAGTCTGTCAAAAACTTCTAATGCCACACACTACTGTTTCTAATGGCACACACGACTGCTTGCTTATAAGACTTTATTAATAAAATAAGACATCAATCACTTAGGAACGCAGAGTCCATCATCGTTCTTTCCGTTTGGCCCACATTGCGATCCAGGGATTTTTCCCGAGTGTTGGTCGACTGGTGGGTAGAATCCGAGCTTGGTACTAGATATAGAATTGGTTTGAAGAGTTCAAAACATTTGCAAACTCACTGAGGTCCGAAAAGACAAACACGTTTGTAAACAATGTCTCCCATTATGCCGAAATTGCGCTTGCAGTGGGGAAGAGGAAAACCACAAGCCATCTTGGTTTGGATATTGTTGACGTACTCGAAGAATCGAGCTGTCGTCTTTTCCCACTCCTTTACCGTATTCGTTAGTTCAGCAGGGTTTGTCTTTTCAGTCTCTATCATCCAATTGAGCGTATCAGCGTCGACAATTTTGGACTCATTGCGTGGACTTCCATCTGTCAAGAAATAACGGTAATTTTTCCTCACAGCCTTATCATTGCAGTCGAATTTGTTGGCAAGCACCTCCAACTTCTTGTCCCAAGTCTGAAATATGCTATATTAAAACAATCATGATCTTAACTATCTGAAAACGCTCTCTGAAAATCTTGAAACTCACCAACTTCCACATGTCAGGAATTGCATTGTTTTTGGCGAAATCGCGACGAAGCATGTTATAGAAATCAAGCTCACTCCATTGGACGGCGTTGACAGCAACGGCAAAAGCCGAAAAAAGAAGTAGGATCTTCATTCTCGAACGATCTGGTATTTTGGGCTGCTGTGCTCTGCTTTTATATGGTTGTCGGCACAATGTTTGTCAAAGATGGGAACTAGAAGACTTTTCTCAGAAAGGGGAGGTTGAGAATTTGATAACTCTTGAGAAATGAAAATTGAGTTTTTTTGTACTTTGATCATGGGAACCATAGTTTTTGATTTTAAAAATTTTGAAAAAAGGGAATTTTTAGATCATGAAAGATTAATCTGTTTCTCAGTCACAAAAAAATTAATTGTTCCTCTCTTCATTCTGGTTTTTAGAGAAGTGTTAATC